ATGCCACACAACCTGAATAACCAAGTTGCAATCCTCAAGGCATGAAAAAAGCGCTAAGTTGAGAGTTGCAGTCCAGGTCGGTTCAATCAAACCCATATACCTTTATATACTCCTATATAAATATATATACCTATATATACGAAATAGGCCACCCTATTTTATACAGTCGAGTGTGAAGAAATTTTTTTACATCGAGTTTTCTGCTTCTTATGTGTCGGTACCCACCATAACAGCTTTCTGCGGTTGTTCGTCTCACAGGAGCTGTAGCCACTACACCAACAGGAATTCCTGGTGACTATATATTCCAGTATAAGGATGTGAAGGCCTGGGACAACCCGAAAATAAGGATGTGGATAGATACTACCTTGCGTAGTGTTGTCTACTTCCTGGTCACTGACAGGGGACATCCTCATCACGAATTTCCTTCCCAATGTCACTCCTTACACCCGGAAACTAAAACCCGAGAAGGCTAACATTGTTTCGCAGAGTAGAACAGAGCACAGTGAATGTCACACACTTGACTCAGATTTACTACCAGGCTGTCAAGTCAAACAGCTGATTCGACAAGCGTTTCTAGGACGCTGTCGCAAAATTAACGGGCTTCCCCCGATGTAAACCAATGGGAGATTCAGTCCAGAATACACATGTAGCATAAATTCGTTGGAACATTTCGAAACTTCAGCACGAATTCCAACTGGTAAATTTGAACTCTAGGAGGTAACGCAGCGTGATAACTGAATGTCCACAGGGTTCCCAATAATCACCATGGTTTTCATATCAGTGTTCGTGTAGAATTCATTAATGCGACACCGTTTTTACCCATCACACCATGAAGCACTCCCCCCGAGGTATTTTTTCATCCCAAAGTTCGTGCGACTTTGATAGGCGAGTGTGACGACCTTACTTGATGTACTGAATGTAATATCTAGTTCAATTCCTAGACAGTACGGTGGGAGGCAGTTGTATGTTTGTATGCATTTTCTTCGTGAGTAATGCTACAGTGCTCCCCATGAAAGTAGTAAAAATATTCTTCATAACCGGGGAGAAGACACTTTCCGGTTGCCAAAAAGCTGGCGCATCATGAAGAAACCGCCCTATATATTTGATGAACACCAGTTACGTAAACACCATTGATTCACTATCTTCTCATGTCAACAGACTGTTATCCAGTTTACTCAGCTGGGCCAATGATTTAGCCCACGTTATGCATACAGCAACATTCGTTGCAATAAAAATTGTAGATAAAGATAAAGATAAAGATAAAGGATAACAGCACGAGGTAATTCACTGCCCACTGAGTTCACCCACTGTTCTCGTTGTGACAAATTATCTTGTGGTGGGGTGGTTAGTTTGGCTAGGTAGCAATACTGCTACACCTTCGTAACGAGCTGGATCTGACGAGGGTTGTAAAACTCTGCAATGCTTCACTAGTATGTTACTAATATGCAAGATTATTTGCCACATTGACCGTAGACTACGAAAGCCAGTCACTGAATATTCACAATCTTTTCAGGAGACTTCATTATCCGATTCGAAAAGGGCGCGATTCCCACAAACTCTAAAAAGAATTTTTTTTGGTGTTCACGTAAAGAGCGGTGAAATGCTGTGCCACACTTGGGGCACCACACTCAAATGTCTGTGGTCAAACTGAAAGATCTATTGTAGCTCAGAAAGTCAACATATAATATAAAACCATATAATGCGCAAACTTTGAACGTCTGATTTGCAGTCTATCTACCATAATAAGTTTACCTACTCTTGCACCCAATGAGGACATCGCTAGTACTTGCTTCATTTCAAGATCACGAGCGAACAGAAGCTGACACGACCTGAGAATATCATAAACGAGAGATTCAGCTGAGTCCCAGGAGTCTCGTCAAAACCAAGTTGGTATGCAGATGAACGTGTAAAAGCTGACACGAGAATATCATAAACGAGAGATTCAGCTGAGTCCCAGGAGTCTCGTCAAAACCAAGTTGGTATGCAGATGAACGTGTAAACCAAACTAAACACGGTTCACTTTTGATATCCAGTCTCTGCCGCTAGTTCGAGTTCTCCGTGTCGAAAAGTGCACGCATATGATCAACGGTCTTCGGGTATACCAACAGCCCAAGTGAAGGAACACAGAGTTTCTGCCCAGCCCCCAAATGGACATATTCGAAGTGAACTTGTTTCCTGACATGTTCACGTGAACCGGATGCGCAAAACTTCAGGAGTAAACAAAACACGTGATGTAAGAGAACTGATCTAATCTGCGCACTCTGAGCTACCTAGTTTACGGCTCGTTTCCCACCTTACCCCATATCACCAAATCTAAATTGATCTTATGTGTACATAACCGGTAATTATCCAAAAACCATTGCCAGTGAAATGTATGTGGTTGGATCATAAACAGTGACTCCTACTTTCTTTCTAACAGAGGAAGAAACCGCATATTTTCGAGACAGCTAACGGGAAACGGTCTCACAACCAACTGGAAGGTAAAATACGAAAAGAAACTAAAAACGATAGGACCGGATGTAATGCTTTGGCGTTTATACGCGAGTTATTCATGGCTATGCTGAATCAGGTCACCAAGTCAGTTACTGGCTGGAAATTTGCAACCCCAATATGAACAAGATCTTTCGGTTCGTTTACAGATTTTCACCGCACACAATGCATGGCCAGAATTTCTATAAATCAAAACTTTATCAAAAGTTAGAAAGTTCTGCACGCGTATTAGAAGTTGAGTGGTTTATGTGCATATAGTTAGGCGGATGACGTACGTGATGTGGTATAAACAGTGAAAACTTCGCAAAAGGTCTTAGTTGGTTTGATGTACGAAAACTACCCTTGTTACCCCGTCACTCATCACAACCTTAGCGTCTCATTACCGACTGCGAATTTGCCTTCGTTTTTTGTCGCACATACCAACTTCTGTCATGTCAAAACAAAAGAGGGATGCTTCGTTTTTTAGCACTAAGATAGGACAAACCTAGTCTCCTTAGTTGGACTGGACCATGTTGGTCGCTGCTCAGTAGGTTCATTGAAACAGGGGAAGGTATATGTTATTCGAAGAGCGAAGTGACAACTACGTGTCAGCCAATCGGACAGCATAGCACATGCAAACAAACGAATAGCTCGAGAGGACGCACTGGTTTTCTCCCGAGGTTTCTGTACCTATGCGAGGAGGTTAGGATAAATAAGAAACAGGTCTCGCTCACATTAAGGAACACGACACAAAAGCAAGTAAACATTTGAAATCCAGAGGTGGACAGGTAACTAATAGAAACTCAAGAAGCTTGTGGGTCATGAGTGCCGTAAGACAAAGCATGGAAAGCTAATAACCAAGCTGTTGAAACGGGCGAACGATATCATTAAAATAGAGCTAAGATGAACGCCACCGATAGGTCATTTTGAAAAGGTGCCTGTTCGCACTAGCCGAAATGGCAAACGGTCAGTTTGTCAATTTAACTGCGAGACTTCCCACTGACTCGACTTCGGACTTCGTCATTACACCACTCTCACTTATGGCCAATTACCTCCCATAAACTGTTACGAGACCCATGGTGTATAATTGAATACCACGAGTTTCGCGGCGTTCCAATATTCACCCGATCATCTTCACTTATTTTGCCCAGCATCTTCATTCTGTTTCTGATGAAGATTTCCGTGTTTTTCTACTTGAGAACTACGTCACTCACATGCGCAGTTCACGGCTGAAAAGCCGGAACGCGATGATTTAAGCAACAGTCTACTTGTCATTGAGCAGCACCGACCTATGAAATTACGCTGGAATTGTGGATATCTTCATTTTATTGACATTTTATCGTCAGTTTCGCAGACACGCAGATGACGAAATTTCACACAGGTCCTAAGTACCCAGGGGAAAAAGGAGAGCACATGCGACATAAGGCGCAGTGAGTTGAGCAACATCGACAGTCGCATCAGGTCTCAGTGGCCACGAAAATCCACATAATCAAGATAGGCTGAATGTAACGTTCACGGTAGAGAACAAGTTCCTGTTTTTTTGCAGTGAAGAGTCGTGAAAAGTTTAAAGGTTAAGTTGAATCGTGACAAACGGATAAAGGAGAACCGACAATCCGTGAATTGATAAAGCAATGCCAAAAAGTTATCCAGCTTAGCACGAAATTAGAGACAATGAAATCTATACGTTAAAACGTGGTATCAATCATGGTATCAATGAAAGAAGTCTCGGAAGGTTGCACCACGTTCGTCATCATGGATAGTACCATCAGTTGTTTGCTATAAAACAGTGCCTAAGCAAGTGACAGATAAATGTATCTTCCATAGCAGTCAAGATTTGATGGGCAAAGATGGCTAGGACACGTACCACATATACCCATAAACTGTCCTGCGAAGCAAGCATTGTTCGCCGCCTCTAACCCTAATTTGTCGAAATGCTTGGAAGCCACAAGTGACAAGGGGAAATCAAACCGAATATTTCAAGTCTGAGCGCTGTGGACTTTATGTGCTCTCCTGATTGAGGTCCAAGCGGATAGTACTGTACTGACAGCACAGATGGCTGGAACTCAGGCATTTTTGGACAAGGGTCATCAGGATGCCAGCTTAATTCTCTCGATGACAACCTACTCCAAAACGATACCCAGATGTGATCAGTAAACTACTGCCGAAAAATGTAGACATGTCTGACTGTTTTCGCTGGAACTAGACGGTTTTTGGAATAGGGCTCCAGCCATACCGCGTATATATCATAAATCACTACCGTATTCTTCAAGGGTGTGATAGTTAAGCATGAGTTTGCAATATTGGTTATCACGTTAACATGATAACGCAATACTGATGTTATCGTAAAGCATCATCAATCAACTTGCAATAAAGAGCACTGACGGCTACCCCCAAGACAGACGAATGATCATCGCATAGGGATCTCAGCACTTGCGCGGTGAAACTGATTGTTCATTCTTCCGAAAAAGCAACCGCCTAGAAACATCAAGTGGTTTTAAAGAACATAAAAAGTGGAACAGAATGATACAGGTAAGTATTATGCTATTACGAAAGTACATACATATCTTTCGGACGGTTGGCAATCCATGATCGTCCATGAATAAAAGGATGTAAACACGAGGAACTTGTAAATGGGTGGATAGTTTCAGTGCCGAAATGCCACGAGGGAAATTGGAAGAAAACTACACCACCAAAAAGAAATGAAGGAGGGGGAGCTAGGTCCGGGATGAATGACAAACATCCAGGGAATAGTACATGAACGAAAGAACCGTAACCACGGGAAAACAGAGAGGGAGGGGATAGAATATCTAAGACAATAGAAAATGAATGAAAAACGTCGTCAATAAAAAGCATATTAATTTGAACGATGCATAGAGTGGGCGACTGAGTGGAGAGTACAGTAATTGAAGAAGACGAAAGTTGAACTACCAATGAAGCTAGAAAGCTAGTATCAATCAAAGGTGTCGGCCAGTCAGCTCCTTTGAAAACATGAACCGGTGGAAGCAGGCATTATGTAAACTAGTACAAATGAAGTGAGTCAGAGTGAAATGAGGGAGAATAGATAGTGGATCCTGAAGATTCTATGATACAATGACAAACAGCAATAAAGTTTGGACATTGTCATCACGATTGGGGTGACATGAAAGTATGACATTCTGATTCTGACGGTGTGAGCGAATGTACAGACGGGAAGAAACGAAGTACGTAGGTTTGAAGTAGGTACGAAATACCTACTTTGGTTGATCTGACAGGCTAAAATCATGAAAGTGTAGTGCAACACTCATCCGGGAGTGGACTACCGGAGCCACCGGATGAGGCAGCTCGATTATCACCTGCACTATCTGTCCCACTGGAATCCGAGTCATTTGAACTGCTGGTTTGTAGCCGATCAGGTACTGTCTCAACAACAGCGACCACAACTCGCTCGGAGCTAGTACGCTGAGACTGAGCGGTGTTTTGGGGCACTGAATGGAAACTGACCGACCCTTGTAGAGTGGACGTGAACTCATGTGGTTCCGGTTGCACTAGCAGCGGGTCAGATGGAATGGCGGGACTGCCTGTTTGGATAGTAGGTCGGAATACATAAGGAGCCGGTGATGAAGAATTACGACGATGTATTGAACGACCCGACCGGAAGCGAAGCCAAGGAGCTGTCAACCAAGATGCCCACGGCAAACGATTTATACCCGACATGACCACTGGAAGTCTCATTCTGGACCGTGGATTGAAGTATCTTGAACTACTTTTACGAGGATGTCGATTGTCAGTTCTCTGAACGAACGCATGCGTGGAGCAACCGGGCACCGAACCTTCCACTGTAGTAAGCACTTGGTGATCCATATCACCGTCGTTTCGAACACCTGATGGGACACCATACACCGAACTAAAACTATCCAACGAATGTGGGCTTACTTCCTCCATTGTTATGCGTGGAGCTGCCAGTTTATCTTGAATCCCTCGGTCCTCAAAAGAAGCCGATGCTGTGGAACTGTCTACAGCAGGGAAATCGTCTCCCTAAGTAAAGGAAACCAAATTCAGTAGTAAGTTACTGGCGAGCTTCAAATAGAATACCGAAAACAGTTTTTAAAAAAAGCTCCAAAAAGACCTTCATTACCGGCTGTCAGGTCAGTGCCAGACAATCAGCTGAAAAATCTTGTTCATTGACATCAACACGCCCAGTCATCGACACCAGCTGAAGGAGATAATCACTAATAGATTCAAACTGTAGGAAAAGTCCGGAAAATTACCTCAACTTGCGGCAATTTACTCTACTGCCAAACCCGTCAGTCAACCATACATGTTGCTAGTATGAAATAGTGAGTTGAGAACGCATCCACCAGAAGTTGAAATTTAGGGATGAAAGTAATGGGTAACAAACAAAAAACGATATAAGGTGTACTATAGAAGTGGTAAAAACTGAAGATCAGCCACGAAAATAAACATCGAGTCATCTACAGGTAAGCCACGAATAAATCTGTACATGCAGTCACAATCGCTTTGCACGAAAATTGTAAGGCGGCACCTATGGGTTGACCGATCCGCAAGAAAGACAATTAGCCACCGGCACCTCGGAGACCTCGACGGTTAACCGTTTCCCATACGAGACAACCCAGTGGGTAACGCAGAATATGCCAGTCAAGAACACACCGATAGCCAGGTTCGAGCTGGGATTCAACAAACGTGGAATTAAAGCCCGTTTGATTCCACAGGGGAACTCCCAGTAGTGTATCGTTACGCTGGTGCTATGACGCTCACGGTGACGAATACTGAGGTGGTGCACACAGCCCTAATTTCTAAGCTACTGAGGCAGATCTTGACAAAGGATGCCCCATGAATGACTGACAATAAGTAATACCGAAAAGCAACACTCTATCCCTTCAGTTTACGGTGTATAATGAGAGTTGGAAGTTCCGGAAAAAGTAACGTAAAATTTTAGGACGAGTACATCATTAACGAAAAATAGCAAACAGGCCACTTAAAGCCGCACATAAAGGCTGAAAACGGATGAGTTGATCGAACGTGACAGACAAAAGTATCAACTGAAGGGAGCTAGATCACACGGGCGTTAGGTTCACGTTGCGTGGCATAGAAAAACAGGCGCACCCAACTTGATGGATGATCCATTCGTGCAAGCTCCCGATGTAACACACACTTATGGAAGTACCGAAGAGACAAACTATGCATTCATTCTATGGCCTGCGATGTAAGCACACAGTAATTGGGTTTGCAACGGTCGATCGAAGCGCATAATGAACCCATTCATGATTTACAGGTGCATAATGACAGGACGGAGTTTTCTGTGAAGAAGTTATACATGAAAAGAAATAATTTCAAATCTCATTCGAACATGCAATCTACCTTCGCGCGGATTGTTGAGCGATCTATGGCATAATGTGGTTCCTATTCCATAGGCAATCTGACGGTACAAAAAACTTAGATCACGAGGATTAAATGGTAGTTTGGTCTGATACGTCAACAATACCATTAGCAAGGAAAGCGAACATCAAATGTATTAACGTCCTGAGTTCCCGTTAAAGCAAGTTCAAGAAACACTGTAATCGCATCACAAATGAATTATTGTTATGAGACATGTCACCTCACTGATTTTCAGATTGATTAAGTTCGATGTAGTAACTCAAGAATGTGAGCAAAGTCACTGTACAGTTTTCATTCGCCAAGGGTAGTTGGTGACCTGCGAGAAACAAAATGTGAGCAATTTCCAAGGTGCAGGAACGGGACTATACCCACCTCTACATGGCAGGTGAAACCGTGCAAATCTGTTAATGTGACTTTCAGTCTTTCTAAAACGTGAGTTCCTTTAAATTCGTGGAAGCGAAAACTTGCACTCATGTTCATTTCCGGTCTGGTCCATTTACTATAACACTGGGTCAAAATTACAGTAGATCTAACAGATGAGGTCACTTAAGGTCGCTTAGGTCCATGCAATTTTTTATCAAGGGGTGTATTGTTGTGATCAACGCCAACCAAACACTGTGTAGCGATTTCCTCACTTGGGTCTGTAACACACCCCTTGAATTAGTCAGCATCATCATAAACAGTAACATCAGAGCTGATACTGATGCTTCACTGCTGTACAACCACTTGTAGGTATCATGACTGTACGAGGGCTAGGGTACTGCCAGAGTGACCTCGAAAGCGTGCTCGCAGGGCGGCGGTGTCTGGCTGAAATGCAAATGCATTGCCGTTTTTAGAGTACAAATGGACACATGTTCCAAATCTCAACCTGGAGTGTCAGGAGACTGTGTTGCTCAGACTAATCACTGACCAACCTGATATGAGAGACTGCGAGTGCCCCATGGACACCAGTCTATGTCAAAGGGTCGTGGAGGTACAGAAACCCGCACACAATGGTAAGGTCCAGTCTCTTCTTGACGGCTTGGATGAGGCCTTGAGTCCTTGAGGAACGCTGATTACCCGAGTCAATATGTCCGCCCCCTACGTCGAACATCTACGGGTATGATTATTCACTTGCGAGCCAAACATTGTTCATATTAAGACGTTTTGGTAACTTTAAAGGCGGCCTGATAAAGTACCTGAGTGACTCAACAAGAATCATGAGGTTTTGAGTCGAAAACTAAGGATGATGTCACGCAGGGATAATCTGTCTTAAGAAGTGCCGTAACACGCCAAAGAGTGGACATCGCTTGTGACATACTAACTTAACATCCAGCCACATTAAGACTTCTATTGGGATATCGCATGATAACCACACGACGGCTTAACACGAAGCAGATAGTAGTGTCCACAGTACATGTTACATTATTTGCCGATGGTATCTATTAAATTAAACGAGGTCTATACACCACAAAGGACGAACAAGCAGTTCAGACGTGCTAATGTTTCGATCAATTTAAACGGAACGATTATGCCACATCATTGTAACGCAATTTGAACTATCACGCGGCACCAAACCAGTTGTGAGAGGATGAGAAACCACTCTTTCTATAAAAGTCATCCAGATAAGACAGTACAGCCCAGCTGGATAAGAGTTATAGAACTGAAAATATGTGGTATTCTCCGGATATCTGAACACCATAGCGAAACTTCAGGTCAAACGGATACTGAGTAGAACATACAGGAAAGAAATTTATTTATTTATTTATTTCTCAGAGGAACAAACTCTAACGAATGCCGGATAATCTAACTCACTACACAGTGCCATTCGGAATGGAAATCAATACGTTGAAGACCGGACGTTTCTAACTTTGCATGATCGGGCCTATCTAGCCAAGCAAAGTAGATGAAACAATCTATCAGGCTGTCGACCTCAGATATCTTGGCTCCAACAGATATACTAAGGAAATCCAGTGACGTATATGCAATGCCCGATAAGCCGTTATGAAACTCGACCCTATCTTGTTCAAAAGAAACCACGAAAATCCAGGTCTTCAACGCAGCCATCCGGTTCTGACTCACGCCAGCGAAACATGACCTACACGAACGAAAGATATGAGGAAGCTGCATATTTTCGATCAACTTTATCTCCGACACAGTGAGAGCCAGAGAAAGTGAACGACGACGAGATCTGGAAATGTTATTATGACCTGCCATACCTGCCTTATCCCCTTCGACGACGACGTCTGCAATGATCTGGCCATCTGTTGTGCAGGAAAGATGCCGAAATCACGAAGTAAGCCTTGGCCCCTACACCACGTGAAGAATGGTATTGTTGCCTCGGAGGAAGACTGAAAACCTGACTCAGAACGGTGTGAAGTGACATAGAGCAGCTAGGTCTCCCTGTAGTCTGCGGAGCCCGTGGCTGGAACCGACACCAGATAGCGATTTGTGTACATCTGGTACCTGTAACCGAGACACTTCTGAAACCGAGTAGTCCTGTATTAGGAGATAGGCCGCAACACAGTGAAGCGGTGTTGGCCAGTCAGACTAGGGAGATTGTGAGATTCATAACCGCATGTATCCTCCCACAGAGGATTCACTATCTCCCTTACTCGGACTAGTGGAAAAGTATCTATCACTACATTACAGTAATACGACAGAAAGATGCTCCAAGATACAGCGACCTCCGGGTTAGCAAACACACTGGTGCTTGCCTAAACACTTCTGCCATAGTTTATTTGAATACTCCACAGCGTCTTTACCTTGCTTTGTCCATAAACCAGCACAAATTCGAGTTTGCCAATACTGAACTATGCGGTCATTCCATTTTATCTCAAACAGACAGATATACCGCTGACAGTAGTCCGATAAATTCTCTGCGACCTAGGCTTTCTCGACTAATCCTCTTATTTCGAGTATTTTCGTGACCGGTTGCTACTTCTTGGGTAGGACAGTTTGATAACGCCACCTTGCAATACACAAAAATGTCATTTAAATGATACATTTACTATCTCCCTAGTATTGCGACTCTGATTTATTTTTTCCATTTCGAATTCATTGACAATTTCCCTCAATTTTCCTCATTACTAACCTACTGTTCCCTGGGATCTTTCTGACTTTAAAACTGCGAGCGAATATCCGAGTGTTCTTGAGACAGACATTCAGCTATAGAACCCCGCTCCACCTGATTTCCTTTGTTATCGGTTTACTACCCGAACGCCCTGTCATGATGACGAAGGACTGCTTGACTTCAGCGTGTCTGTTCTCAACTCAGTGCACACCGCTAATAATGCGCCCACAGATATCGCAACCAAGCACACCAAAACCACCGTCGGCTGATGAAGCTTCAGAAGGAGTTCTTAAAACGCTTCACCATGTTTACATATACAAGAGAAGCAATTGCGGGGTGGTTCACTTCCACTGGGTTTTCTGCACCCAACCCCGATAGACCGGGTAACTTATCAGTCGGACTGCTTGATTATGACTGCGACTCACCGATGTCATAGAAATAGGCCAAACAGAGATGTGTCTTTTGGACAGTGGTTTTGTGAAATCTATGGGAATCTTTTACGTTGTTGTCGTATTATTTGCCGCGGTAAACACTCGGGCTTCTCAAATGTCTCCACATTGGTCATATCCGGACAATTCAAGTGATAAAAAGGAAACACAATGTGCAATATTCGCGTGACTCGATTTTCGACCGAGCATATCCTCGTGTAGGATGCCCTGTATAGCAGTACTAGAGTATCTGTATTCACAGAAATCACGGTACGACTGTTGATGAGTAAAACATGGTAACACAAGACTATAGTAAAGATTTTCAACAGCAAAACTAGGAATGTGATAACGAAAAAGCAAATCACCTCGCATTCCATAATGACAGAACAGACGGGGCCTGTAAATGCTTGAGTTGTCGAAGTAACCTCCGGTACTTTAGTCCCGGAACTAGCTGCTATAATACCAACCGGCCACTGTGCACTGTTGGTGGAATGCCGTAGTGTGAAGGTGCCCGCACAACGTTGACCTGGTACGAGGCTGCCATCGAACAAAGTTGGTATGCTACATTCGATTGTATGCGGTTCCCCAGAGATATTCACGGCTGTGGTCTCGGTGACTCCTAAGGCGGCAGCAGCACATATATCCCTGTTCCAAACGAAAAATCCGGCCGTACTTTCTGGACCAACTTGCGGAGTTATTGCAGCAAGTGAGGGGAGCACAGGGACCACAACCTGGTTGCCCAGCGGTGTGATAGGCCCAACAAAATGCTGCTGTATCAGTGGTGGCTGCACACGTAAGTCCGAGGTAGAGCTTTGGGTATAATAACGGCCAGAAACATCCGACACTGACTCATTTGTGTTCGGGACGTTCAGTGGTGGTAAACAAGTGGACGTGGCACTCAAAACAACGTAGGCAAGCGAGGGAGCGGGACCAGTGGTGAGCGAACTGCTATGCACAAGTGCTATCCGTTCCATTCCATCATCAGATCCCGAGGCGGATGCGAATCCAGAACGTATTGTTCCCAACAGGCTAACATGACCGGGTCCTCCGGCGGACTCCGCCCCGGGTAGATTGAAATAAAAATCAGTTCGTAATCCATAGGCCTGCAAAATGTCCAGTTTGCACATTGGGCAACTCCTCTGCTCCAACAGCCAAGGATCGATACACAATTTATGAAAGTAGTGCCTGTAAGGAAAAGTGGCATGTAGCTGAAGACACAAAGTATGTGATATGAGTGTTCAAATAAGTGCACAATATATAAGCCCCATGGCTTTTTGTAATAACACGATTGAGAAGACAAGGCAAAACGCGACAGGTGATCTACACAGATGCTGGAACTGAAGTGCATTCGTTTCCAAATAATCCAGTACTATACCCAAATGAATCCCACTCGATTCCTCCGTTTCTGATAGTCTTTAGTGGAGTTATGTTGAAAAAGGAATGCGGGGATTATTCTGTTCACAAGTTCGGTTGGCTTTGATAACAGTGGTCTGACCACAACAGCAAAATCCATCAGTTTTCTAACCAGTCATAAAGCTCGTCATAAGTTTCTACCATTGAAGTGTTGAACCTTGCCGGTGAGCGATTGGCTACAGTGCCTCTGCGATTAGGCTTTTGAAGGTCCTCTGTATTTGAATACCGGTATCACCGGAGCATTGCGCAGAATTGTTGGGAACAGCAAATGGGTAGTGCCGGGGTAAGCAGGATGATCTTTCGGAAAAATAGAGCAGTCAGTCACCAGTTTACGCCAGCCAGTTTACGCTGGCTGGACCATGTCCGAGAAACATTTGCTTCATACAGCCTTTGTCGCCCAACCACTTGCTGGATGGAAACCAGCTTGGGGCCCCCAATCCAATTCTTTGCAACGAAGCATGAGGTCTCAAGAATAAACCCTGCAGAGTTGGCAGCTAACGTCTTCTCGAGTGGGAATCCCGAGACCAGGCACACCGCAATTAAGTAACCTTGATAGATGTAGCCTTGTCAGACAGTCCACGACAGTCCCGTGGCAAAAACATTGTTCTAAATGCGTAATTCTCGCACTACATTCTTTGTCAGACGAATAGAACCACTTGACAGCAATGGACTCACTACGCCGTTACCTCAAACACGTGGCTCTCATCCCCCTATTTTTCTGTAGTAGCACCGCACCTTGGTATGAGATTTATGACTGAATAGCGGACTGGTTGGCTGAAGTGATTAATTCTGCTGGAAACCAGTCCCATAGTCTGGAAGAAGAGTATCCCAATCAACGGGCGTAAAAACATTCAAAGGTGGAAAGTGGGGAAGACAAAACTACAAGGCCATCCCATTATGCTGTTCCATCGAAAGATTTCGACGACATTTTCTGGCCATTTCACTTCGAAGCCATTTCAACCATCTCGGCATGCTTTTAATGTGTATGTGCATAACAGTTCAACTTATAGGCTTCCATTTCTCCTTCGGGACGCCGCCCCAGTTTTGAGGTCACAGGCGTTTGCATATTTGCACATCTGTTGTACTAGTGCACCCTGGGATCTCAATCACACAACCAGTCCAACACTTTCATGAGAAGGAACGGGAGATAATCCTGAATAATTTGAGGTGTGATGCACTTCGCTGTCCTGTTTGCTATCTCCTCTCGTCTTGGTAACTAGTGACAACTTCAACTTTTGGACTCATGAATCAAGTCCTGGTGGCTGATCATCATAATTATCGTCTACCGCAAGTCTCCAAACCTGCAAAACACCGGATAAATTCAGCCAAACCTGTGTATGCAATTAGGCTTTGACCGATCTCGTCCTACCGCGGCTAGTCCCATGACATGTTATCTTTGTCTCCATGGGCTAATAGATCCGCCCGTGCATCACAAACCCTACATGTCTGATCCGTTCAACCTTCTATTTGATATGTGCAAGTAGCCCACTGAGAGCATACGGGGAAGGTGAATTTCGCTGAGATGTTGCTACTTCCAGCTCGTAAGGAGAACTGAATGTTTGAGATGTGAATGAGTTTGGATAAGTATGCAGCCGTTAAACTGTGCGATAAAGCTTCTTCAGTTCACAGCAATGGACAGTTCTCATTGAAGGTTTAAAATGTTCTTTGTCACAGTCCGGATGGTACGACTTGTTGATCCCCCTGGAGAAACTTCTTGACTGGCTCGATAACGAAACACAGAAACCCAGTTTTGTTTGGCAAACCGTTTTGCCAGAAAGGAAATCTTATTTTCAATCGGCTTATGTAATGGCTTGCATAGATCGCGTAGTCTTAGAATGCGTAGAACCAATGTTGAATGTACCTTAGTCAGGACAAGGCCATTTATGGCTTGATCAGTGGGATTTGTTGCTGAAGGGTGAAAAACATAGATGAACGTATGTTTAATGATCGATCAGTTTACGATACCATGTGACAGCAACCCCCAAAACGGACACCCTGGTAAAAACACCGACGAACTTTTTGTCGTCAGGTTAGCATACGCATTCCCCGGCAGGTTGCGCCGACAGGCACAGGTGATTTAGCTAATGCAATCATGCATGTGGTCTCTGTATGAATGGTTGCAGATAGTTGTGAGAAACCTGCGCACCAGAGGATAGCAAATAAGCCTACATGCACGCCGCGGTCCTTTACTTTCATTCGCATCGAGTTTTTGACGAAGCCACCTCAAGCGACACAACTCGACCGAAACTGGAAACGCAGTTGAGTGCACATATTTTTTTAGACAGAATGCCCTTGTGATTGCTAGACGGATAACATAAAAAGCGCGACGGATTTTAACAGTGACCCGAAATTCGTGCAGGAATACTGATTTGCTCAAATTAAGGCCACCCGCAGTGTGATAAAGACTTTCGGCTTTGAAGGCACGCGGAGGATTCTAAAAAAACTAACCACGGACAAAAATATCCAGATGTTGCAAAATATGGTTTGTAGACTAGAGCAATTAGGGTTCAAGAAGTCAGCTTCTATTAACACTTATATAAACACTCAATTTATCGAGAGTGCAACCAAATCGAGTGTCCATGGTAGGACAGCAGTAGACCTCTGCCTTCTTTCATGTGGCGATTCGAACAAGGGCTTTCTTTAAACAGATTACACAGTAAAACAAGACTGCCTCGCTGTAGGTGTTGCTGTCCGTGATGATTATTTGATTACCTAAATTGGATTTTTATGCTAAAATCCACTGCAGCACCTCTCCCCACGAAACGTTTGAGGGAAAAGGCGAAATACACTCATCTGCAAACTAATCTGGTTTTAATCTGGTTTTAAGATTCAGCTAAATCTCCCGTTTGTGACATACTCCAACTGAATCTGTCGTACAACACATCATATCTGAGCTGACATGATATATTACAGTACACTGTCCCGACTGAACAAACTAACTATGAGGTTGCTGAATGCTCTTCGACAGTCCATAATAGGTTTCACTCTTCTTGGCGCTCATCAGGAGTATGGTCAGACCCTGAGTTTATGTCAACCTCATGTTCCACTGGAACCCAACTTGTATGCATTTTGCGAAATACACGCACACACACACACACACACACACACGTACAAACTAATTTGGTGATGGCATAAATAAGTGATTCAGCTGAGTCTTCTGTTAGAACCAAATTAGTTCGCAAACGAGTGTAGTTCGCGGACGGTTTGGGTCCATGGAAAACCTGGAAGTGCGCTTACCCCTGATGAACTGGTGCACAGAAGACATTTGTCCAATGCTCCAGCTAAACTGGCCCAGAGGTCACCTCTTGTCTGAAGATGGCACAGATCAGACCACATTCCCTCATATGGCAAACTAACTGCTCTAGAGGACCCGTGCCCTGAGTAACACGCAGATTGTCATAGCCACAGGGCTGCAACCAAACTTAAATCTACATTGCACAATAAAGCACAAAAACAATGAATTTATCGGTTTTAAAGTAACCAAGCAGAAAAGTCTGTTCCATCTGCTACATCATAGTTTCGATGTGTTCAGCGAAAAGTCCACGCCATGTAACCGTATTTCTTCCGGAAACCTGAAAGCTTCAATGAAGGTTTGAGTAAGCCTTTAGCACTAGACCTGCGTTTATCCGTATTGTAAATGATTAGACGAACCTAGCCCAATCAACTGTAGTCATTCTTTCCATTAGTTTATCAGGTTAGACTGACTTCAATACATTACGGCTGACCGCAGATTTTATAACAAGATTTGAGAATTATGAGCTGAAAGATAGGTGTACCTTATTTTATCGGCGCCTTCGTTGCGAAAATATTCCAGAAATTAAAGTGCTTCAGATATGGGTGGGAAGGACCCATGCGCATGTTTCTATACTTGCTCTTATGTATTCACTGTCATGTATTGCAATCATTCCTAGCATGTCACACTTTTCCAGAAGTGTAAGATTTCACCCGAGCTAGCTGGTGCACTCGAGATATACTGAGCCGCAGTTGACGTGTTCCCTAATGACAAACCCAAGTGGCCCATGATGTAAAAAGAGAGCGTGCGTTTCTTCCTGGAATTTTTTTGCAATTCTCCGCGTATGCTGACTGATCGAGATGAGAACAGTGACGATTCCTCTTATAAGTAAGGTGGTTATTTTCTAACTCAAGGAATGACTGCACATCGGCTAGTCTCACTCCAATGCAAGTACTCTTATAAACATGCATTCTAAACTCAGGAAAGGAGTGCGTAGTCCAAGCCTCGGGTAGCAAGCACATGTATCCCTGCTCACAAGGATAAAACTAAACTAAACCTGAAGAAACAGGAATCTAGAATGTCAGTCTTTATACGGAAGTTTGAAAACGAAGTTCTTCATTTGGTCTGCTAATCAGCCATTAGAGCAAGTCCCAGAGTGAACAAAAATATGCCTGACTGAGACAAAATGGATAAATTTGCAACACAACTGATGTCATCTTCACATTTTTTGCCAAGACCAAACACTGCACCAGCACGTTAGAAACTGGAACACGTTCAGTTACACGTTCAACAGTCAGAACGAATAAAGAGAGATATCAAATGAAAAAGATCACTTAAAACCGCAGTATCCATTTAGATTTTTAGCCTCGTGGGAATTTGGGAATTCGACTACATACAAGGTGGCCTTTATTTAGGGATTTCAGCGACGCTTTCCTTCTGGTTTACATGTAATGGAGAGCTAACAAACATTAGCATGAGATAGTTGGGTTTTGTCTGTTCAAGCTGAGAGGAACAACTACGAACTACATTTTCACTCACTAATTCTCATAGACTAGGGAAACGTCAGGTGCTGGTTACACCCAACAAGTGTTTCTGTCTGTGGGAAGCTATGGAAGTATTTCCTCGTAGAGAAGTACTGTGTATTTTTCACAAATGCATTGTGTACTAACGGTTCAGTGATCAAGAACAGACTAAGTGCTTTGGCAAAACGAAAGCTAAATATATCAGTCCATAAGTCTGTACCTGAGTCGAAGTTCTTTGGCGAATATGAAACTAGAAATCCTGAAGTACACAAATGGGTTGGGGTTAAGGACAAAACGTGTTAAAAGGCGGATTGATTCTGGTAACGCACCTGCAAGGTAATATGCGAAGCTGATCCATTGGACGATAAGGTTCGATGCATATGGCGCACTGGTCCATATCGGAAAGAGTTTCCTGGAGTAAAGCAGACAGTAAACGGTTTAAAATGAGTCACAATCACGGTCCAACTTACGACAGAAACCGGAACATCATGAGTGATAAAAAACACTAAATATCGCCTGAAATCCTTAAGATACAGTGGACCTTTCGTGATCGGAAAAGATTGATGAAGATAATCGTAATTGTTCTCAACAATCGCCTTTACAGGGGAGGGCTGGTCTAGGCCTTTTTCAAGTACGTAATGAATGAACGTCAAGGATGCGACCCGCCTGCACTGCGACTGGTTTAAGACTCACATACTGCAGATTAGATCTGGGTCTATTCTAACGGGACTCTCTGACTTCATTAACCGTCGCGATTAACCGAAGAAAATCTCAAGGACAAGAATAGCAAGAAACTACTACATTGTTGTCATCTTGATAATTCAACCTATTATGGGCACTTTACGAACTCTATCCGCCACAATAAACGCAGTAAGGGAAAACAACAACTGTCTACCGAGGGCTAGATTCAGTTTTCTGAGAGCAAATGTGCACAGGCGACTGTGTTCACATTTCGCAGCAGAATGAAGCACACTTCAAATAATCGTTGCTTACGCCACTCAGTGATGACCAAGACCACCTACTTGTGTTGACCTAACGTAGTTTGTTTGTGGCGCGAGGACAGTCTAATTTGGCGACCTTACGCGATCGATATACACACTGAAGGAAAGGGGACAAATACTGACTGATATTTCTGGGGTTGGTGGCTGAAGGCGGATAGTGTTTTCACAGTTGGATGAACGAATGTGCATCCTTCCACAGATTGGATTTGAGGAAAACAATTCACACTAAGACTGTTGGAGCGAAAGCATCACAATAAAGGTTAAAGAAAGGATGGTAATCAAGACGCGAAAGTAAGTATCTTCCGTTATATCAGACGCCTATGATTGTCAGAAGTTGTATAAACTCGGTGAATGCTCGTCAACTCTAGGAAGGTCTTGTGGGTTAAAGAATGAGTTGGTAACCAGCGTGAATGATACTACTAGCGTTGCCCTCAATCGGTAGTACGATTTAAGATATCAGTAGATCGAGGAAGCTTATGCTGGTTTTGATAGAGAAATCTATATGGATTTTGTTCCACCATTTTTACGCGTCTTTTGATAGCTCCCGTTTCTTTATTTCCGCTCGCTTTCCCTTGTAACTTTGTGAACCTGTTAACCTTGAAATCACGCACCTAAGTTGACAACCCACACACGAACATAGTTACCTTACGGGTCTTGTGACATGAGATGGACGCTGGTGGGCTGGAACTTGCATGTCTATTTGGGTATTATCGGCTTATTGCCTGACGGGGCGAGATGGCTGAGTGGAGAATTAGAGTTGCGCTGAGTTAGGGCGCAAATTTACTGACCGTAAGGCTCGTGGTTCGAACCCGACCTCTGGCTCTCGACTTTCGCTGTCTAGGCTTGGGCAAACTGGCAGTATCCCAAACTTCGTGATTCATTCTGGCAGTGTGGCAGCTAGGCACTGAAAGGGTGCTACAGCTGAACGATTTCTTCTGAAGGATGTATGAAATCTGGTACAACTCCACAACCTGAGACTATCATTATCAGTACCGCGCTTAAGTCAACGAATTCGTAAATAAACCACCTTTTAGGTCCCGCGCATGAGTCAATATGGCTTCCTGGTTGCTAGTCGATATGGTGCGAAGGCTCCGAAAGTTCCCATTCAATAAAATTAGCGAAATACAAATTTGGTTTTGCTTTTTTCCCACTGTTGGTTCTTTCACAAAGTGATGGAACCAATCCTCACTCCTTAAGACATAACCTAAGACTAGCTCATGGGAATAACGATTCGTAAAAATATCGACTTTCGGTTCCCAAGAAGTACTCCTTAAGTATTGTTGTTAACGGTGAAGAAAGACACTTGTGATAGATGAAAAAGGACTACACACATGACAAACAAACAGGATTTCTTTTTGTGGCTGCCATTAGAACATAAAAAGCACCAAACTACCGACTAGCGGCGTCATTGTGAAGCTCATCAAACGACAGGATCCGCTATCACTGTTACTCTTTGGTGTCAGACAGCTAGCTTGATGCAGTGGAAGCATACCAATTCACTATGTATGTGATAAAAGTCTACTTTCGACTGTGGCCTCCGATTAGCACACGGTGGTGAAAACAGTTGAAGGAAATAAACATAGCAGACAACCAAGTAACCGTTTAAAACAGAAGTGTACCTTCTGTCACGGTGCACCCTTTTCTTTGAAAGACTCAGAAAAAGAACGCCGCGGTAGCAAAGTTAAGTCCGAAAAACAATGCATTGTGTAAAGTTCGGTCAACGCGTAACGATAGGACGGGAAACAATGCATTGCTTTCACCCGTGAGGATCACTTACAGGACACGCGAAATCAGGAAATGAATGTGTCGCGAAAGCAACTTTTGGCTCACCCAAGCTATGCGTGACTGAGCTCCTGATCTTTAGGAGCCATGTGCCGACAAGCATCAAACTACTGTACAAATTTGCTGGGAATTTCACTCAAGGTCGATTTGGCCCTATGTTGTAAATTATTCGTTTTTTATTCATGAACTCGTCATCCACCTAAAGAAACAGGGGTTTTCCACCAAAACACAATAGAAATTCTCTTGCAGTATCGATGGCTACCTCAGAATACATCACAATGTGTCCACAGCTGCCGACGCTTGTTAGGGGGCGGGTGGTCACAAATAGCCGTACACCGAGAGAGGACATGAAGACAAAGGATGGAAAAACGGACGAGCAAGAATGCACGGTCACAGGTTAGGCGTCTAGCTTATATTACTTCTGAAGAGACGTTAAGGGAGTTGGTTTAGGAGCATCGACCATCCTGACTACCGCCTTCCGAATTCTGAACATTCAATTCAGACTGAAGTATAAATAACCTCAGTTGAATCACGCCTATTGAACTTGTGTAGTCGATCGTTTTGTCATACGGCCATGAGGGTCGAAGATTTCGAATTGTTCGTTATGTAGAAACGTTCATATCAAAACACACCAATAACATATCAGTAATCCTCACTCAAAGATTTATGCAAGCAAAATGAACAACAGAGGAAGGAGGGAATAGAGGATAAACCTAATTCAGTGAATGGTTCTTATACACAGTAGCCGGGGTTATCACACAGTCAGCTTTACCATCGATAAAGTTCGCTAGCAATTTCTTCTGATTGTGCAAATCCTTGGGATACTCACATTTTAGTCTCACAGCGGCAGTTGAATTAAATTGGAAATCCTGTTGTAACTCATGCTTAGACGACCATAAACTATGGTCTCTCTTTGTGCAGTCCAGATATTCACCGTCCATAGGATATGGTTGAATGCCCAGAGAGCAACAACATCCTCTACGGATTCGCTCAGTCAAAATTATATATGCTACAACCACCAACACACACGACCAGCGAGTGGACCGTTTGGAATCCAGAAAAAGGGGAACATGGACCAAAAATGATTTGCTATGACAGAGGACGTGCGCACAAACACGGACGTTACAGGACCTGTCACAGATCAAGCTGTACGTAGAACTTATCCCTCCATACGGTGGTCTGTGACACATCGATTCGGCGAAGTGGAATCTCGTGAAGTAGGCTATGCAAGTAAACAAAATGACTAATTGGGTGTTTTCGGTAAAGACTCATATGAACCGAAAGGGAAAGACTAAAAGGACGACGAAAACAATGACGAAGATGACACAGTAAGAGACTCGCGCATGACACAAAAGCGCTGCCACCAATCGATATACATACACATGGGAAGAACAAAGCGGTAGAAGCTTCAGCGGGGTTTGTATACCTGCTGATCAATGTAACCAAGATAGATGGGATGAGAGACAACTAGCTGACCAGCAACCCTGCCGTCTGCCACTTGCCTGGTGTGCAGACGGGCGGACAGTAATGGTGACAAGCACGTACACTTGAAAAACAAAAACCCCATCTGTCTGAGTCGAGGTTGTTGTTAAGGTTACCGTGTTGGTGGTTGTGTTCACAAGCACATAGTGTACGTTCGTCATGAAAACATGTTTCGTCTTGTGGATAAGCTGAACGGGAAATAAATTGGAGACAACTCCCGCAGTGATAGACGCTTCAGGTTCTGCTGTCTCGGTACGCAGTGGCCACTCACACAATAGGCTATCGTTGTGGAAACTTAAGTAGTTCAGATGAACTTCCCGATGACCAACAGAACCCATATCGTAATCAAAATAATCACATTGCCAGAACACTAGTCAACACAAGACCCTTTTGAAATACACAGAACCCGGATGATTCTTAGAAGCAATAAAAAAATATGCATGGTGCCATTTTAAGCACGCGTTAACTTTAAGAGCAATTAGATCACTGAGACGTTAAGACTTCATTATCATTTACAGAAACTATGGATAATATACTCATAAGTCGAACATATCCTCAGAGATTTGAGAAATAAAAACGGAGCTTCAGAAGCCAAAGTTTGTAACATCAACCTCTCGATCGGTACTCGAACGTTACAGGTCCGCGCTCCTGAGTCCTACTGAATTCCGCGATTCATGTGGTTTCAACAAAAATGTCGGATCTACTATTTCATGTTTCACACAATACCCACAACCTTGCTCCTAATCGAAACTCAAAGATCCGAAGACGATTTCACGCGCGTTGAGATTGATATTTATTGCATTAAATTTGTGCCTACGAGGCTCCTGGATACACTCACACTTCTGACAGTTAGTGGGATCCAGATTGTCTGACTATGTACTGATTCAGAGATCGCAGCGAGCTACCAGTGGACTCCCTTTTCCAAGTTTTTTTCCCGGGCGGGATTTTTTCGGACCAATTAGCATGGCTTGTATGAATGGAGGTGCAACGCCAACGATTATAAAATATCCAAGTAGCTAAGCGAAGTTAACATCAATGGATTATTCATTGCCAGAGTGTTATAAATCATGCGACGATGCGATGTGATGCAATGACTGCGGTGTATACGAGTCGTCCATGTTGGTCAAGGTATGGAGTTCGGATTGGACGACTCGGAACAACTCCTTACTCATTATTTGCTGCTAATGATGTCAAAAATCTTACCCTGAATTGACACTTTCCTCCAACAAACTCCACCTATTCCAAGTCTGTCATGTTATCCTCCCCCAGTGTCTGATTGACGGACTCGCGTCTCGGCTATTCTTTGAGCCATTAACTAAAAAAACTGCTCCTTACTGTATTCTTTGAGCATTAACTAAAAAAACTGCTCCTTACCTTACTGTTTTCGGCTGCGACGCTTTAGAACTCGATTCAGAGGCTCCATAACCAAGCCATTACTTATTTGTGTTTGTCTGCCGTCTGTATTTTAATTACAGAGTGTCCATAGCAACAGACATTCTGTTTCTCCAAATGCAAAATGGAAGATAAATCACTTACCTTATCGCCTGGATGTAATGTCTTCACTGGAATTCGCGCGACTGCCTTTTTTGCAAGTTCAGCCAAACGACGCTACAAAGCAGGCAGTAAGTGATAGAAAGATGGAGGTCATAAATATAGCAGAAACTAGTTGAACGAACGTAAAACAAAAAGAATTGTGGGTACAATGAGCGACGTATGAACATCTGGAATTTGCGTTGACAAACACCAATCCGTTGTTAAGTTTCAGTTGAAACTATCTACCAATTGTACGCAGTAACTTATTCTCCTAAGGACAGAACAAATTTGAAGCATTTTCTAATAAAGCAAAAGCATGTCCAGATAACATATGAACTCCACAGCAATATTATCCGACAGCAGATGTTTTGAGAATACTCCCCCCAAAGAATATAGTGTTGCAAAACCGAGTAGGAATCACCAGATGGATAGCGGAAGCATAAGTCTGAGAAAACCGAAGTCATTTTTTTGTGGAAGCAAGCGGAACAATTCATCGGAAGAAGAAGGATGAGTGTCGCATAATTATATTGCATGCCACAGTAATTTAAATCAATCAATTTAACAGCTATAAATCGTGTGCCATAGACACGCTGGTTCCAGCTGCTACAGTTCCGATCACCAGAAAAAAAGAAAGTGGAATAAAAAGCCAAGCCTTGGAGGCGAAGGTATACCCAATTCATGCGGAAACTGGGTAGCTACGCATTGAAGGCGACAGCTTTGATGCACGAGCGCCATTGACTGCACGATTGGGCCGTTTCCGCTGTCAATAATCACTGGTGATTTGAGTCCCGGGGTCCCCATCCAGGGACGCGGCAGTTACCCACCCACTGGTTAGTGTTTTCGCACTTCATTGCCAGGTCATACATTGTCCACCTCTCGGTCGCTTCCACTCAGCACAGGGCTGGGCGAAAAGAGCTCTGCGAGGCAGACGATCTTCTGGCATGCGTAGTATATGATCCAACCAGCGCAGCCTACGAAGCCTGAGTAATTCATCTATCGCGGGAGAATTCCCTCTTCCTAAGAACATTTGGCGTACCTCAGCATTATTAATGCGAAACAGAATGGGTCTGTAGGGGCATGTGTTGTGACAGAGATTTCGATAGTCGCCTACCTGATATTCCCGCAGTTTTCCCCTTTCTTCTATTCCAACCCCGTCCTTAGATTCATATGATAAATGCTGTTCATCCATAAGCAACCTCGTCTATTTGAAACCCAAAAACGTGGAAGTCAGTCGTGTGCTTGCGGCCACAGCAAGGTTTCCAGTGTACGATTCCCGACCGATTGGTTTAACCGGTAAGATTCGACGACGATCCGTATGCACACTCCCGATGGACTGAATGTTTTTTATCTGTGTTTGATCACGTGGTGACATTACCGAACCATCCTTAGAGGGCCAACTAACTAGGGACACAGAAGGGCAACCAGAGTCTAAAACTTGATACGGATGACTGGAGGATAAGACTGGTATCCCAACCAGGACAGCTGGAGTGGCGAACCACACAACTTTCCTGCATGTCGAACAGAAGCACTTCCTCGGACCGCCAAATGGCACAGCCAAACCTGCCATCGATGAACTCCGATTGTTGTGAGATTTACCTCCAAGCACCAGTAAATAACAGTTAGCTTAGCGAAATACACTCATTTGTGAACAAGTTCGGCTTTGGGAGAGGCTCTCCTGGGACTCAACTAAATCCCTCGCCTACGATGCAGTGTATTACATATGAACAGTTGATTTTTTGTGTCACTCCCAGAAAAAATATTCAACGAAACGAAACAAGCTGTCCCACCGGTTCGCACGATATAAAATTCACTCGAACATTTAAGATCGGAGCTCGAAAGTAATGATAATCTCAACCTCTCCTCGTTGGAATTGATGCATCACATATGATCACAATCGCAACGCTGCCTCCGGGGGAAGGAAACTTTGCATTCATCTTTCGGTCTCCTGCATGAAAACATTCCAATAACGGAAAAGGTCGTCCAGTCCATAAGAAGGTGGAGATATTGCCTTCTTTGCAATCACTTTAAACTTTCCAATAATCAACGGTCAATGTCTTACATGTATACTGCAACACGCGATGAAAATAATGGGTGATAAAGTACTGCGCTGAGGAACTGCTGAGGAACGCCGTTGGAGTACTGTAAGAAGCATATCATCGGCAATGCGTTACCTCTCAGATATCGTAGGTAACTTCTGAACCACATATGACGGAACAGGCATTCGCTTAGATCAATATAGTTTCCACAGAGCAATATATGTAAAACTGTTTAAAGAAATTCAACCACTAGGAGCCTTAGCATGTACTTTGAAGGCCCGTCACCTATAATCTGTCTATAAATATCGATAAGTATTCCGTCTCTTCCGCATTTACTTACACCCATTATTGGATATCCTGTTATTCATTCGCTCCGTTTTTTGAGTTTAGCTGTATTCATTGCGATCACTACCCATTTGTCGTGTCTGCCGTATTCGAAAACTCCCTTAACAACAAACATACAGCATATAGCGGAATTGCTTACAATCCTCAGGGCTAAACGGCACCTTCTGGAAGGCCACCACTTTCGATCAGAAGTCTCGAAGACTTGAGTTTAGTGTATTCATTGCGATCACTACCCATTTGTCGTGTCTGCCGTATTCGAAAACTCCCTTAACAACAAACATACAGCATATAGCGGAATTGCTTACAATCCTCAGGGCTAAACGGCACCTTCTGGAAGGCCACCACTTTCGATCAGAAGTCTCGAAGACCCCGTGTTAACCACTCAGAACCCTTCCTGTTCGGCCCGCTTCATTTTATTCGGGACTCGCAATGCACCGCAACAAATGCCACGCCTTATGGGGATGTTTAATCATGTGCGAAGCTACAACAGATTCTGACATTGACACAGTGCCGGTGGAGGTCAAATGAGCGTTGTCTTGGATTAGCCGAAAAATGGAGAACACTTAGTGGAGATGCTGTTCGCTACAATGGTGATTACGTTTAACCACCTTAGACGGAAAAAGTGAACACTACTAAGATCACTTGTTATTCTTTCCATGCGTTACCTCCAAGTCAAGCTTCGTTCACTCCCGATTCTCTCCCCGTCTGAGTAAACTTCAAAAAAACAAAGTATAAGGAAGCAATGGATCACCTAGAATATGATCAACCTGGACGAGTCAGCGCCGTATCGCATCATCAAGTGGATGAGCACTCGGTTCCCCAGCGAAAGCCATTCGAAGCGCTTGAGAACTGCTAACTCGGTGTTCCTATGCTACACTCGCAACGCTTCGAGGGTACGGTGATCGCTGTTAGTCGTTTTGTCTTCAAAGACAGTGATCACGTTCCACAACCATAAAGCATTGCCTCATGCACATCTGCGTTGCCCTCAACGACAAGCTAACGTTATACCATTACTAAAGGTGTATATGCTGAATAAAGGCAGAACGGGACGTAGACTTCCTAGCATTCGCCTTTGGTAGTATTACTGTGAACTGAAGAAATACAACTATCCGGATAGGTGGATCTAACACTTTGTGGGCCTCCTAAGGTCACCAGTAGACTTGGCGCTATACACATCCAGTCCGTTACTGCTGTCAAGGAATACAGAACGACTAATATTCAAGTGCGAAATTATGATAATGTTCGCCAGAAGAAACTTTCATTGTTTTGACACGATGAAGGGGAGTCCACCCATCCGCTCATAAAAAGAAACAAATTCCAGAAAATGAGTAGTGTCGCTTTGACGTCCAAGTTTATTATGCCGATTGAATTCGACCAGTTCTCCGTCGAATAGGCAGCATACGAATGGATTGTCAAAAACAAAGTGACATGAAAATACGTGGAAAGATGAGTTGAATATGTACTTACTGACACGCGTTCTTTGCTGTGGAGATATCGGAAACGCTGCACATAGTAAAAGACCAACCAAGCCAAGCTGATAACCATGAGAAGAACGAAGGATACGGCCACAAAGAGAACAGAAGAACGATTAAGCAGCGCTTCTTCGGCACCAGGGTGGCTGTTAGGACTAGGTGGTGTAGAGATCTCAATGATGACCCGAGCACCCGCACCATCCACCTCCAAGCCGGATGGCCGCTTCGTTGTTGTAGTGGTAAACAAATTACCACGCAAGGAGAGTTCACGCGAGTCGAGTGGTGATTTGGCAATCGAGCCCACTCCATAATTCCGTGGTACTGGGGCACCCGTTGTACTGGTGTTAGTAATGAGGGTAGTTGTGTTCCATGACCGAGAGATGTGAATATCGGATCCATTGGGCGGAGTTCGAACCAAGGCCATTCGAACAGGGGTAACTGGCTGATTTAGTGTGTCACTCAGTCGCATCGGGTCAGCGTGTGTATTTAAGGGCTAGAGAAGTGGTAAATGCATCAAACCATCTCAGATGATCACAAGTAGTGTCCGAGAACATACTTGTTCTTAATCTGAAACGAGGAAGATAAAAGTTTGTTGGGTTAGGTTAAAGAAATAGTAGTCCAAGTGTGCGTAAGACTGATACGAAAAATCCGCTCAGTTTGACGTTCTCGAAATATCTTTACATTACTGTAGTCCAGGCCCACAGAGGGTGCGGCTGCTGGCAAGGTAAGATGAACAATTCGATCAATCGATTCATCAGCTATAAACCATGTTAAGGGTACACTGGTTATATCTGCTACAGTTTCGATCACCGGAAAGTGGAGGAGCATAGAAGGTACAGCAAAGCATTGGAGGCGATGGCATGTTCAGTCAGTTCGGGAACTGGATAGCTACATATTGAAGACAATAGCTTAGATGCATGAGCACCACTGACTGCATTCGTGTCACTAACCATTGGCGAGTTTAGTCCCAGGGTCTGCATTCAGGGGGGAGTAGTTGTCGACTCAACTCAGTTTACTGGTTAAACTTCTGATGCTTCGTTTCCGGTCATGCACTGTTCATCTCTTGGTCCCTTCCACCCAGAAGAGGGCTGGGAGGAAGAAGCTCTGCCAGAGAGACGGTGCTGTGACCAGCGCAACCTCTGAGACGCGAATAATTCGTCTATCGCGGGAAATTTCCTTCTTCCTAAAGCCATCTGACTGTTAGGAGGACTGCCTAAAAACGAGCGAATCCGCTCTGCTAACGATCTCTCTTGCATACTGAAAACATGTTTCTACAATTCAGCACTCATTGACATACTATTAGATTTTTAGCGCTATTTATACTCTGGTTCACTTGAATTCCATATCGCGGAACGATCCACTTGTCTGCCGTATAACTTCTTTGAAGTTGTTTGTCTTCTCCGTTCCGGTGGACTGACGAGTCTGGATGATACATTATCCAGAGGACATAATGCTGGCGACGGAAACCCAACGTAAACACAATCCCGTCAATTTCAGCTGAGGCTTTCAAAACAATCCCTCAATAACAAAAAGCACAGTTCAAACAATCACAATCCCGACCAATTCAGTCTCCTTCTGAAGCTATTAGACTGCAGACATCAGTTCCATTTCAAAGTGGCACTTCATTTTTCGCGTCTTCGGTAATTGATGACAATGTGGTCGATTGGTCTGAAGCTACTGCAGACATCAGTTCCATTTCAAAGTGGCACTTCGTTTTTCGCGTCTTCGGTAATTGATGACAATGTGGTCGATTGGAGTGGAGTTCCGGTATGCCGTTGGAGGACACCATGTGGCCAGACGAATTCGGCTATTTCGGAAGTTAGTACTGCATAAAAACAGCCTGCGGTCAGCGCACAGCTGAAGCAATAGCTCCCTATTGTCCGTACGTACCGAGTCCAATCCATATCGACCTAATTGAGTCTCAGAAACGCTAAGCCTTCCTAGTTGTGCATTCATATCTCCGGCAAACACCACAATGTCTGAGCTTTCAGCTCGCCGCAGCAGGGCATTCTGCGTGTCAAAACCTGTCTTTGACGGCGTCGGGGCTACAGTTGATTGGGGTGCAGGCAGACACGATAAACAGACATCTACCAACTTCCCGATTGTGAGACTCCATCAAATACGTTGCCAGACGAACCGCACAGAGGCGACTATCAACAGGTATCCAGTCAAGCAAGGATACTTTCATCCGGCCGCAGCAGACTCTGCATCGCTAGGGATACGCAGCCCGAAGTGAGTGGAGACTGATGGGGCGGTTAGCTCAATCACTGTGCCTGGATCCTGTATTCTTGTTTCTGAGACAGCACACATCAATGCCAAGCGAGTGCAGTGTGAGAGCGAGAGCAGTTTATTGTCTTGCTTGCTTCAGAGTGCGGACATTGAAGGCGGTCAGACAGACTGAGTGTCAAGGATTGAAGAGTGATTCGGAGATACCTAAGGATGTCGGCGCTATGTGACGAGCAGATGCCGCACGCGAAACCGATCCAAGACGAACGGAGTCATCGGTCCTAAGTGAAGGGCCTACAAGAGGAGAGTTATTAATGGGTGGGTAGAGGGGGAAGAAAAATTATGTGAGAAAGAAAGAAGGGAGGCGTCAGCAGTAGCCTGTTTTCGCTTACCCACCCTGCTGTATGCAGCAAGTATTGCGACCCTGCTGATGGCACCACGTGACGGCCGATGCGGTGTGTTTATTTGTATATGTGCAATTCTTAGTTGTACGTGGACTGGGATACTGTCAGGGCGCCCACGATGACCGATGATCGTTCATCTGTAACGCCCATTCGGTGCACAGCTGCCACGCCATCAAAAGAAGTGCGGAGGCTGAGATACTGCCAGTTTGCCCAAGCCTAGACAGGGGAATTCGAGAGACGATCGGGTTCGAACCACGGACCTCCTGGTCAGTAAATTCGCGTTCTAACCACTTACGCCATCTTAACCCAGGGCTCCCACACCTAGAGAGGGGGACGATTAGGGTGTTCAACCAAAGCTTTTGGCTGTAAAGCCTAACCGCGAGGTTCTGGTGTTTGGCAGTGAATGAAAATGCATTGCCGTTTCTACGGAACAAGTCGCCACAGGTTCCAAACCCTAGCCTGGAGGACCAGGAGACCGTGTTTTTCAGACGTCTAACCACTGACCAATCTGGAATGGGAGACTCTGAGTATCGCGAGGACACATCCCAGTATAGCTCAGTGGGTCGCTGAGGTGAGCGAACCGCCACACCACGGTAGAGTCCAGTCTCTTCGTGACGGGCCCCCGGGATTACAGAGTGATGTTCCTAAACAACTTCATTTTTGACATCCCGATATTAACCGCATGAACGCGCTAACACGTAGTTACGTCTACTGACCGAGCATGAATAAGCAGTTAGAACTTGTACACAAGTGTTCAAAATGCCAACCATCCGCAAAATCCCCTCAGGAAACAAACTTATGTTCATGGCAAATGCCAGAAAATCCATGGTCGCGACTTCATGTTGATTTTGCGGGACAAATCAATGACCAACAACATCTGATCCAAGTGACCAGAAGTGTTCAGTATGAACCATGCTGCTGCTTGTGCTGCCATTCAAAGCTACATGTGTTTAACCAGTTTGGAGCTCCAAGCATTATTGTCTGAAGACGGCATTGCATCCACGCCTGCTGAATTTTCTGCTTTGTGTCAAGAAAATAGCATACAACATATGCGATCACCACCGTTCCATTCACAATCAAGTGGCGAAGTGGAAAGACTTGTGGACACTTTCAAACGCGCACTCCTGAAACTCAAAGGATAGGGGACCATATTGGAAATCATCGAGACATTTCTGCTGAATTACAGGGCGACACCAAATGTTAGCGCTCCACATGGTACGTCCCCGGCGGAAGTACTTATAAACCGGAAGATCTGTTTATCCGTTGACGTCATCCGTCCAACACATTTGCCAACCGGTAAAAACACAAATATGAAAGTTCAGTTCCACCGGCGTCGCGGTGCTGTAATATATTTATACCCAACCAACCTGTGCTAGTAAAAGACTATCAAGGTGGTATGGAAAAGTGGGCACAAGGTATAATTGTGCGCCGTGCTGGAAGAGTTGTTTGAGGTAAAAGTAGGCTCCACTATCTAAGTCCGTCATGCTACGTTCTTCCTATCTTCCAGCGACAGCTACACTCGATCCTGTTGTTCTACTGGAGATTCTTCTCGACACATCCGAATTGTCTCAAATGCTAAAATCCCCACAGCCGATGAATTAACCAGTAGTTTCCAAAAGTTGCGCACCTAGAAGATGGACGGAGCGAATACGAAGGCCCGTCATACCAATGCGAATCAACCCTCAGCAGCAGTCCTACGACGAAATGCACTAAAGAAAAGGTGTTAAAAAGATTGCCTCCAAACGAACAAATCAGCTTTGCTAACTGTTTGTCTCGTATACCGAAACTCTGTTTCCATGTTTCAGCCTCTCAGTGACATCCTATTGGACTGTTAGCTCTTTTTATATTCTGGTTCAGTGGGATTCCATATTGCGGAACGATCCATTTGTTTACGTTAAAACTCCATCGGAGTTAATTGTCTTCTCCATTCCGGCGAACCGACGAGTTAGACAGATACATTATCAAGAGGATATAACCCTGGTGTACCTAAGTACTGCTAATCCGATGCTTACACCAGACCCAGCCAATTCCTCAGTGACATTGATGGTCAAACACTGACAATTTTCTTATGTCCTCTGTGCTTAGAAGTCGCGTTTTAGATCCATAAACTAGGTAACCGAGGTTGGCAAGAGCTGTCAAGGATGAACGGAGAAGTGCAGAAGATAAAAACGAGAATCAGCTTCGACATCGTCTGTGGTACGTCTATCGGGGAGTGGACAACGACGACAACCATGCGTTGTCCGGGAATCTCAAAATAGTTGCCGGATCACCATGATATAGTTTTAGGGTGGTAGTATACCGAAGACTGAGACGATTTGTAGTGACGTTGGGAATAGATGGCACCTAAGGCATGTGAGGCACTGCGACAGAGTGAATATAGGAAGAGGCGGTGAAAAATCTGAACTAGGTGGCCGAGAAAGTTGTCGGACGCTCCTCCAACGACTCCATTAGGTCACCCAATATGGGACACGGTGATTCATGCGCGACCTTTTTTCGATATAACGACTTCATTGGGAAATGTGCTGAGTCCTATTTGTCAGTGTCTCTTGTCTTCATTAACGAGGGACGTTTAGTAGTCCCTAGGAGTAGTATATTTATCCATGGGCCGCGCGTGTCTTTGAAACAGCCGGTAAGGGAAAGCTGTTTTTGACAATCCATGCACTCTCAGTACTTTCTGACTGCAGCTGGATATGGCAGGTTGCACAACGGCAGATGGTAAAACCCATCATGTCTTCTGGTTATTGGTTTTTTATTCCTGGTCACAGTCCTGCCATCCAGTTTACAGATCTGCTTCAAACTCTGTTGAACGAAAAAGTAAGCACAATAACCCGCTCATTAAAACCCACGTTTCCTTGCTTTTGGAAGGAAACGTTTAGGTGTTTATATAAGTTGGTTAATTGCCTAACGTGTATTGTAATTTGACACTTGCAAGCGGGTGCCTTCAGTGTGAGAAACGTATGCAAAGGTCAACTATAGATTTTGAACCGAACTGAGACTTCGCAATTCGCCAACTACTTCCATTCTGATTGCACGAATACTGAGTCATCTCGCCTCTAACATGATTTCACATTATAGACAAGTTGTTTAAAATGAAGATGGCGTGAAGGACATCCGTAATTGATTGGCTGAAAGTGTAGCCGAAACAGCATAGTAATCATGATTCGTGGGACTACAAACTGCATGCCACATCAGCTGCTAAGACATTAAAACTTCGACTTACTTGCAGCATAAAACAGGACAGGTGGGCAAAAATAGGCTACTGTCGATGTTTCCCTTCTTTTCCTTTCACACGGAATTATCTACCACTCCATGCAATTCATAATGGTCCCCTTGTAGGTCCATCCGCTGAGAATGCCGAACTGTTCACTGACCTTAGCCGCTATATCTCTGAGCTAGTCGACAACCACGAACATCACAAAATGAACCTAAAAGGCCCCACGGTCATCATTGTTCGCACTCCGAAAGAATTGGGACAAAACGATGTCACTTCTGGTACGCTGGAATCGCTTACCATTGATGTGTGCTGCGTATCAGGAGCAGGAATACAAGATCCAAGCTAACTGCTCTACTCTGTTCGTTTCAGACCGCGCAAACCTGGAGACCTAGAGGCCGTTGCGACCGGATGTGCGGAAGCCGGCATTGTACTGAGTCACCCAGAAGAAGGATCCTTCCTTGACCGATGACTGTCAACTGTGCGTATAATCCGGTATCGTCCGTGAATGACTGCGAGGCTGACCGTTGTATTCATCGTGCACACTTACACCCAACCTGAACCTCCGTGCAGACACCTTCTCGGAGATATTTTTTTGGTAGCATGGTAAAGCTGAAATTCCATTCGGTGGTCGATGGGGAACCATAGCTGCATATGGCATAGCATCCGCTACATTGAAATCCTAATCCTTATTCGCTAACCTTGCTGCGAATTGGAAACCCATCATTAGGAATTCCCATCGTCATAAATCGGAGGAGGAACAAGTCGTAATAACCGATGTAGAACAAATGCGCCCCGATCCATAATTGGAGCACCCAAATCTCCATGCAGAGCACAAGTTATCGTAGCGCGCAACACGGACAAGGGGAGGTGCATGGTCATAGACTACAGCCAGACCTTTAATCGCTGTACCTACCTTGATCTTACACTAGACCTCCAGGCTGCAATAATGGAGCCAGATAAGCCGTCCACTTCATTCCAAGCCAAGGTGCATCACTTTAGGAGCGACAAACGAGATTGCACGCCTCAAGAAAACGATAAGCGACGTTAAAAAAGCCGAAGACATCACCTGCAGCACAACGCCAGCTGAACATGGCCGTAACCTTAAGTATATTCTCGACTTTGTTAAAGCACATTACTTTGAACAACGCAAAGAGCATCTTCGCGACTGAAGAGGTTACTTTCCTATGTTACAAAGAGTGCAAAGGTAATACCAAACGACCCAGAACACATTCGCCCTATAAGAAGACTCCCAATCCCATGGAACGGAAAATCTCGGCAAAGAGACATGTATCTGCCCACCTACTGCTCACAGTGGATAGCTGCGTTTTCGGACAAAATTAACCATTAAGTTGAAAGCAATTTTTCCAATGTCGGAAAGTGTTCAAGAATCATTCGAGAACCTTAACCACGAACTGAAGAAGGTTGAAGCGGTGTGGTCTTCACCGACCACAGTTGCACATTGCAGTAAAATGATATATAAGAAACCCATTGAAAAAGCCCTCCGTGTAGCTACATACTATGAAAGGATCATTTTCCTTGTAATAAATTGCCATGAGGCAACTTGGTAAACTGCTTGCACCCGTGGAAAGCTGTCTATCGACCTACTTTTCCCGATGAAACCCCGCAAAACAGCCACACCCGCATTACCCAACCGGGACGCTGCAACGGACGATAGGGCCAACTCGACAGTAATTGGCCAAGCCAATAATAGTGCCCAAACTCGAAATACCATTGGCCAACAACCTCCGACACCGGTGTATTAGATTAACAACCACCGTTAATGCCACATCTTGTGTAATGAACATGCTTGTACTTATGAACAGCGTAGTTCAAGCTGAAAACCGGTTGCTCACGTCGGATGCCATTTTTACCGACTTCTCAAGTGCATTCGGTCAAGTATCAAGTGTTCCATGGCCCCTGTGGCGTTTTGTACCTTTATTTAGCTTCCATTATAACACTACGTATTTCATCAATTGCATAATCGTTTTTTGTTTAAATACGGAAAACTACAAAAACGCGCACTTGTACGATTTCATATAATACAAGCGTGGTCATGTGCTTCGACTCTCCTGATTTCGCTCGCGCTTGCAGCGGTCACTCGCGAGTCTCATGTGCTAACTCTGGTATCAAAGCATTTCAAACCATCTGTTGATTCCGCCTGCGAATCAGCGGTGACCAGCGGTAACTTTCCTTGTTTTCTGACTACTCATGAGTAACGTGACTCACATCTGTTTATTATGACACCGTTTCGTTTCTTTGCTCGCTTTCTCCCTGTTTCGTCCCGGCTTAGGGTCTGCTTATGCCTCAGTAACTGATGTCAATACTCAATTTGCCCGTCCGTCATTGTTTGCAAGTTCGTCTGGATTGCACCTATTCACGAGCGTCCACTCCGACTGAAAAGCGCGCCGACCGGGTATCGAGCCCAGAGTCTGCGGACAGCAGGCGAACGCGTCGCCGACTACACCAACCGGACGCCCAACGTGGCTGTTTATTTTGTATTACCTATGTATCGCACCTGGCAGATAGCCCTTGCTGAGCTTTGTTTTAAACGGACGAAACCGCGCAATCTGACCTGTCACGCGACACGAGCGGCTGCGTCGACGCCGACCGAAAGACAGTCCTTCACATCCCGAACGTAGTGACTCCTGCGCCGCTACGGCCAACTCACACTGTCAGACTGCCCCGATATGTATGTTTGCACATCATTTGGTACTTACTTCTTGTTGCCCCTATAGAAATCCGTGCTGTGACAGTGACTACTTCCCGCTCCCGCAGATTGCGTCATTGTTGATTGTACGTTTTCTTAATTCATGATGCTCACTAATCCGTTTTTCTGTAGAACCAGTTCCTGTCAGTCTTCGATATATCATCTACTGCCCCACGTCTGCCTGCTCCTATTGACTGCTGGCTACGAACTGCGTATAATCTAATAGTCGCAATCGTCCTGTGAGATCCTAAACCGTCTGGATCTCACACCATCTTCGGAATCTATTATATGTGCGAACTGTTCAGGGGAAGACCCCTGGACCACCATAATTGGATTATTGTTTATTCGCTGACCTGGGCCAACGACGAAATATTTTAAAGAGAACAATTGTTAGTGAGTCTGTTCCATTTGATCTCTTTATTATTGTATACCCAACCTAGCGTTATTATTTCTATTTCTTTGCCACACATTCCCGGTAAACTAACTTATTTGGTGGCCAGACCACTAAACCCCACAAGCTCGAATCTCACGGGACTCAAAGGGAAGTTCAACACAAGACTGAAGCTTTCCTATTAGATAGGACATTCTGAGTGAAAGTGGGCTAAAAGTAATATCTTCAGATGTCGGTGTCCATTGGAGGTCTTCACGGTTCTGTTTAGGGACCATCTCTTTTTCTGATATACGTGAACGAACTTCCAGACGTTCTTTCAAGTCGATGTCTAGCTTCTCCGGGCGATTTAAAATCATGAAATTCTAATGTCAGTGCCCACGAAATGGATGTAACCGCTTCAGAGGAGTAGTCGTTGGACTGGCCTCATCTTCTGAATGACGAAAGGTGCGACTGTTGATAGGTTCACCAAGCTTAGCGACTGATTTGTGAACGTTTCGTTGCCACTCGAGGAGACATTTTCAGTGCTCTTCTGGTTGGGTAGCCCATCTCTTTGTGCTTGCGTTTATGCAAGTTGGATGTAGCCTGATTGACCGCTGATGAAAATCGCACTTGACTGTTCCGGTCGTAATCTGTGTTGCGCTGTGATTTTATTTCTCCATGCTGCGGCTAAATTACCGTCCTTTATTGCCTCTTCCAGCTGGTCCGTTCATGATCCGTACTCAGTCGTGGTCGGCTTCTCTGTCGTTTGATTGGTTAGTGCTGTACCTCCTTTTTTCGTAGTTTGCAGTTCCATCAACCTCTTCTTCTTAGGCTTCGGGTTTTATATTTCCGGGTCTCCTTTGTCCTCAGACAGAAGTCGACAACGACGCAACCCAGATCACGAACGGGCCAACCGGTAGAGGCAATAATGGGCAGCAACCTCAACTAGGATGACCTCGACATTGATCGATTAGCCAGATGTAGTCTAGGTCGGGAGCTGAACTAACCTAGCCGACGCATACGACTAATGTGCGGCTAGGGCTACATGATGCCTAATCAACTAGCCACATGGAACCTTCGTCGACCACATCGGACACCTGAACGGATCTAGCTGACGCACATGACTAACATGCGGCTACGGGTGCACGATGCCGGAGCGCGCCTGTCAATCTGCACCGAAGAAAGGGCTCAAAATGAACTATATCGAATGTTGAGGTCGTTTTGATGAATACAGATGTCCCTTCGGGAGGCGCATAATCTTCTTCGTGGGGAGTGTTCATTTGCCCTTTGGCGTCCTGAAATGAGAGGAATATATACCTCAGGTTATTGGAATATCACCATAAGGCGAGCGGCCGACAAAATAGTAGGAATACTTACACCAAAATGCAGCCATGATGTCGTAAATGCACAACGCCATATTCATCGGCTATTGCGCATGTTCACTTACTGCATCCCTCGAGAAATACGAGACTTACGTGGAATGAATGGTGTCTCAACAACAGGTGACCTGTCTGGATCTGATGGCTCACACAAATTATCTTCGTCTCTTTCATCCAGCTGGCACACTACAGCATTAGTCGTAGTGGTCAAACATTTATTCAAGGCTGTCGAGTAGTTCTTCTTCGACCCGAAAAGACGGACACACACAGACTTCCGGGACACACTGTGCTGGGATTCTATGCTTCGTTCCAGGCCAACATCACAAGACACTCCCTTTGTGGACCGGGTGAAGAGCACACCTTTGCGTTTTCTGGATGGGCCGCTGGCTAAGAACAAAAAGCAATTTACTTTTATGTGGACTCACCTCTGTGACAAGCCTGAAGAGCATCACGGCACAGCTGGCAGGTTCACCATCACAACAGTCGGCGTGATATGATACGCGCTTCTTTGCACAACAGCGGTCACTGGCAGTAGTCATCCTGTCATAGAGCACACAAAAACGCAAGACCGCCATCAGAGTTGAGGTATCCTCGAGTTGAATATCCTCGACGACCAACGATGGGCCGTCAGTTGTAGACTATGAGCTTTGACGCAGCATGATTTACACCTGAACAATCGATCGCTCAGAGATGGCCGTGGCCCTCCTGCGTCCCAGCCTCTGAAGCTTATCCATTACTTGGCTCAACTGTTTACGAAAGCCGTCAAAGGCTGTCAGCGTTGGTTTGGGAATAAGTGTAAGGGATACGCCTTTTTCCAGTAGGCCTTAATCCGACAGCCATCGTTGGCGGATTGGAAAGCAGGGTAAGAAAAAGCCTATGGAGTAAAACCCTTACTGCTCGGAACGGACTGATCTCTAAATACAGAGAACAGGTGTATGCAGGAGAGCCACATTGCCTGTAGAAATGGCATGTGCATTCTCCAGCACAGGTTTCAACCATCCAGGAGGCTCTGTGTGTTTGCACCACAACCTATAAGTAAGTTGACGTAGCTTGACCTCACCTTTTTTCAACACTATCGTAGGGCATCCTCGGCGGTCGCAGCTCGAAGTGCTCCAAGACGAGAGAGCATGCATACGTAGCATTCAACAGATGCGTTATGAACGCAGGCATCACCTCCCAGGATTCGTCGTCTTTCACAGTAGTGTAATGTATGCACCTCAAATTGTTGTATGAGTTACTCGGCGGGCCAAGACACTTTTTTTTATTGCATGCTGCGGCATGTCAAAGTGGTGCATCCGCTCTTCAAGGCTTCCGTTCACATTCTCAACACGGCTGTTGGTCACATTACCGAAGTGAACACTCTCGGCTGTGTGCAAGGCCCATTTTCGGGTGGACACAACCAGCGAGCCGTAAGATAAGAAACAAGTCGAGGATCAGTGCGGCGTAGAAGATTAGGTCCTTCCGGAATTTGTGTGCTTGTAACATGATGAATAAAAAACATACTGTACAGCCATGTCCAGACAAGCTATGCGATGGAATAGTGCCGGCTGTTCGCAGAATGTCTCTATGACCAAAAACACATGGGTATCAAATGATACACACACGCTTTCTGATGGCATTCCGGACATGAAAAGAGTAAAGCATCACGTCACAGCCGAACACGACTCTTGCGGCACGTATCCGCGCCGCCAACCTGTCCATAACAAAAGTCTTAACTGTGTAATTTTTGCCCATCATTTCCTGAAATAATTCGAACAGTTTACGCATGGGAGCAAACTGTTCACTCTCTAGCAGCCATGTACAAGCTATGCGATGGAATAGTGCCGGCTGTTCGCAGAATGTCTCTATGACCAAAAACACATGGGTATCAAATGATACACACACGCTTTCTGATGGCATTCCGGACATGAAAAGAGTAAAGCATCACGTCACAGCCGAACACGACTCTTGCGGCACGTATCCGCGCCGCCAACCTGTCCATAACAAAAGTCTTAACTGTGTAATTTTTGCCCATCATTTCCTGAAATAATTCGAACAGTTTACGCATGGGAGCAAACTGTTCACTCTCTACGAATGCACACAAAACCGACGCCCGGTTCCCATGCCGTCCATCATCAACAAAGTATACAGCCTATATATACATGCCGAATATTAGGTGCTTTAAAAAAACTTACCCAAAGCGGTTTGTTGGATGCGTTCTGTCTACATTCGGTATATCTGGAGAATACCGGAACAACGCCATCTGCTGCCATCGGGAGAAGCATATGTGGTTATAGTGACCTTCCACTGACTGGAACACAACAACGCGTCCGGTCTTCCGAAGTTTTGCCAGGACCGAATGCATATCATCCGCCACAGGAAAACTAAACTATGCAGTACCCGCTCAACATATCCGGTCGACACTGACGGCCGTAGCTGGATACATATTGAGTGTTGAGTACCTTGCCGAATTCATCGGCTACAAAGTGCCGCACGCCAGTGACCCCTATTTCAGAAGGGCCTTGCAGGTGCCTACTCGTCTTCAGTTGGCCTTCGATTAACCGGAAACCGATCGTACAAAACTTTGACAACTTATGTTTGCGTTCAAGAAAATATGAGGTAACTGCCAACTGGCCAAGAATTTCCCAGAAAACGCATGGAAAGCCAATTCCGAGGCCATAGCACAGCAGGTTTAAAGTCAAATGTGTGCCAAAAATTTCAAAAGAAGATCGATTAAAACGAATCGCAAATACGTGACGGCAGATAAGGGTGATTTTTGGACTGAGCACATATGCAAAGAAATGCGACATTTTGATGTAAAAGTTTTTATTTTAAACACTAAGGTCTTGCAGAAAAATGCATTGTGGGTCCAAGGCGCGGCGCGCAGCACAGATTATGATTGGACCAACCTAGGGCGATTATTATGAACGGCAAATCAGGCTATATCACAAAGGCTGCTCTTTTTAAACTACATGAACCCAAGCAAGATGATGGACTGCGCACCCAAAGGCGCACTGATGACGTCTCATCGACTGGTGACGAAACGTTTACAAATCAGTCGCCAAACTCGGCAAACAGATTTACAGCCAGCTGATCAGTTACCAATTATTGCGCCCGGGCTACCAATATCTCGACATGTATTCATGTGTCATTCAGAAGAGACTCAGCGAATGCCTTTGTAGTGCACGGTGAGACTACCCCAAAAGGATAGATGCCAAAAAGTGTTAGGGTATCTGGCTCTCCTCAAACATGTCCTCACTGCACGGTGAGAGATCGGCTAACGAGGCACTCGCAGCTCTACGCATGATTCGGCGCAATTTCTCCCGAATTACCCACAAGGACCTCCAAATGTTTTATGAGGCCTACGTCAGTCCACTTCTTGACTATGCCAACCATATTGCCTACTAAGGACGCAAGAAGAACGCAACATTGATCCAGCGTGTTCAACAACCAGCTACGAAATTGGGCGTTGGCTTAGAAACCATGGACCATGAAGTGCGTCTTGCGGCGCTTAACCTCTTTCCACTGGGACATTGTCGCCTCTGAGGAAACCTGGTACTTACTTACAGCCTTTTTGATCAAGATTTGGACGACAGTTTTTCACCGATTTTACGAGCAACACACGGCTAGCGCCCCGCCACATCCAGCTTTGAACCAGGTTCCGTCATCCATTAGCCGTCTGGTTCCGGCTGACAGACATATTTCCCGCCCCCTTTAGTCGTAAACTCCATGATCTGCCATAACTCCCAAGTGAATAAAAGAAACTAGATTAGTGCCAGCAACACATAGGTTAATACCGGATCTTGCCTTCTTTTTAAAACAACGTTTGCCATGACATCTTCACCCTTTCTGCAGGCTCTACTCATATACCAGTTCAAGGTCCAGTATTGTTGCCATAACTACAGTGAGTGTCAAGCTGTCCCCCGATGTATTAGGATATGCGGTATTCGCTATCTTCACCCCATCTTGCGTGCCGGCTAACCTGACCACTTTCGGTTTCTCCCCCCTGGACGATCACGCTGATCTCTCGGTGGAACCGAGGGCACTCTTTTCCCCATACTAATCAGAAGAGGAGAGCCCCTTTCCGCGAAATCATTTATTAACAAACACATACTAAGAATTTGGAAGCTATTGCAAAGGAAATCAGTCTCATATGCACATAGTTTTTAATCAAACATTCCCATGCATATTCTTGAAGTTTCATGGATATTTATTGACTATTAAACAACTGTAAGCTAATTCTGCAAAGCAGTTCTACAAGTTTCATAATAAAATACACCTTGGATTGGAAGCGGACAGAGCTTTGACGCGACCACAGACTACTTGCACGCCTGATCTGTATTATGCGCTTTTACATCAGTGGCAATCTTTCATCGTCCATTTATCAAAAAAGAAGGGTCAAACTGAGTTCACCGACCCGAACTCTCCCATCTGAGATACCCGAATCTGGGGCCACCCACACAAAAGCATGCGGCGCCGGATCTGTGACTGTAGTGTGGTCTATCTGTCCATCAGCGTTTTTCCATACCTTTGTAGATGCAAGCCCATCGTCTACCGTTTCCTGCCAAGACACGGCACATTCGCGTAGGAAATGTTCTTTGACTCTCCTTCGACTGCAAACACTCCCAGTTTGTTGAACTTATGTCCTGACCCCAGGCTTCATATCACCCAATAGGCCTTTGACCTGCTCCACACACCGACCAACATATTCTCCCAAGACGACCTATTGGTTTTTGAATTATTCGCATTTCATAAAATCGTCCATTTTATTTGCTGTTGGAGTACTCAATTTTTGTGTGGACACTTCCTCTGCTCTACGAAAAGCTAGGTTTCCATTGCAATTTTCCATTTACATCGGTATGGTAGGTAACTTCGCAAATAAAAGTTGGTAGCCCCGTTCGTCCAACCGTCATCACTTCAGGTCAAGACTTACCTGTTTTGTCCTGGTGTACTTCACGAAATATCCTGGTTTCAGGCCTTTTCCCTCACAATTACCCAAAGGCCGAAGTCATGACCCTCGTCCTAGAGTCAACGCTATGACACTGTTCTCCGTGATCATGTGCCCTGCCAATCACCATGGATTCCACCGAATTTATGGCCCGTTAATTTTTTACTCTTACATGACCCACGCATATGGAAACATTCGCTGTACAATTGTGACTAGGGTTCATCAAAGTCCATTGCTATTCTTGACAGAAGTTCTTATCATCTTGAACAGCTCGGCACTGAAAACCAATCTGGGGAGTCCGAAGTGGGTAATTCTCTTCTAAATTCACCACGGGATTTAACGCTACTTAAAACTGAACAAAATGTCCGAAAATCCGAAAAAGGGCCTGGAATTCCGGACCGTGTGATAGCCGGAAAGTCGAACGATGCGCAACAGCCCAGTAACACTATCAATAACCCATTTAATCGCTGGTTTTGCTTAAATGGGGTGGCAACAGTCATAAAATTGATAAAAATGTGACGACGGCGATGATGGCTATTGCTGACTGAAGGCGTGGAGAAAAGAACTGTTCACGACGATTTTGAGTTGGGAACGCCCATCACCCCCCGAGTAAGAGCCACCAGCCGAGTGTACTTTTTTACGTCTCAATAAGAAGAGTAATGCAAGTGTAATTCTGGCGTGACGGCGCAGTGAATTGGATCAAAAAAAATGGGATTTGTGTAACCGTCATATAACAGCACTCTAGGGTCCGCCTTAAGCACAAACAGCTCCAAGGATGCTCCCTCCGTTTTGTGCTTAAAGCCCAAGGATCAGGTGCTTCGCAATCGGATGGCGTTGGAAGAGAACATTGAGCCGGCGTTGAGGACCCTCTCATGGTCGTCTATTCTTCTTTTGATGCCTTATGACGACATCACTTTGGCAGGCCCGCTGTTTGATGAACGTTATCATTGTTGGTTTTTGTCGATTTCCTACTTGGGTCCAGCCCGCAACCAATACCAATACCATGATGGTCAACTCGGGAATTCGAACTTACGCCAGCTTTAAGGATTGTATCTTTAGTTTTGGGGAAGACGGCAAGAAAGATACTCATCTTTTATTTCAACCGTAAGCCCCCGGGCCCGATGTCCTCCACATTTAGCTTTCAGCCCGGAGTGTTGTCGACGCGGTCATTCTCAACTGAATTGCCTTTATACATGCCTCGTATCCTCCGCACCAAACGCCTCTTCTCAGGGTTCCTTCAGTAGACCTTTGTGCTTAGCTCAGCCCTGCTTCCTCTGTGGGCGGCAGTTACCAACTGATGATCCCTCCCTGGAAGCTCCTTTAAACAGTCATCCATTTTGCCTTGGTCTTGGTTTACCGGTTGGATCTTCCATCTCCCTAATAGAAGTGGTGCTCCGTCTTCTCCCCAGTTTTGTCCGTCCTGTCTTCAGATATCCAACACATTCACCCCGGGTCCTCTCCAACTTTTCAAGATAAAATTTGGTGGCGCCGCTAAATGACCCCATGCTTCCATCAGTATTCGCAGCTCCTCACAAGCCCCAAATTAGGCACTATTTATAGACAGGTTTGTACTTCGCGTTGTAAATTTAGGCATGATCGGGTCGTCGAGTCTTGAACGTAGCCGGTAATGGCACACGGGGAGACAAGGTCGCATAAATAGTGAAAGACTATGCTGGCGCAGAGCAGGCGCAGTGGGGATCACACGGTCCCTACCCTGGAAGGCGAATAGCACCGACAGCACCCAAGCGTTTCGTAATCTCCCTCATACACCTCTTTAAAGCCGGCCACCTCACTGCTTACGCCACGTTGAATTTAGCATGGGACACAGCAGTCGCTTCGGCAAACGATGGCCAGGCATACGCAACACATGTCCCAATTAACGCAGATTTTGGTGCTAGATACATTCTTCAATGGAAGCACAACCAAAAACACACTTTCTAACTGCTTCGTTATAATAATAATTATTATTCGCAACTAGTCGGTATGCATACCGTCATGATCATAGTATCACAGTCAGAATAAGAACATGACTGATGGGGTTGTGATTAATGAGAATTTCCTGGAAAATGGACGGTGACGTAAAAATGGACAATAACGAAGTAGACTTCATCATACATGAGGTGGCGTGGGTAGGGATCCGAAATTTCAAGCGTACTTTATCTTTTCAACTTGTCGGTGGCCTACCGTTGGCATGATCATGCGTTTACAGTCAGACTGGGCACGACCGGGGAATTTGCGGTTAGTGGGGATTCCGCGAAAAGGGGAAAACGTCATGAATAGTGAGAAGTATCCGATGAAATAACAGGTTTCTTTCGCAACTTGTAGAGAACAATGGGCATGAGGTCCGACTAACTCAAATACTCAGTCGGCTGACATGAACTAAAACAGAATACCATTGCTGGCCACGAGTGGCCTTGGGCGGTTGGGTAAATGGCTGGATTCACAACGAGCAAAAATGGAGGTGGAGGTGGGATGATTCGAATTGGGAGAACATAGCAGGTTTAATCTCAAAAGTATGGTGCAATCTGACAACAAGCAGACCCACTGGTTGCACTGACGTAGGGAGGTCATGTGCAGGTGTTATGATGGATGGGGACACAGAGGTGGTCGGTTTCGAAAGCGAGAATATATCAGATGACACAAGATCTAATAGATTGGATTTAAGAGTGGCGTGACCAAAAAACTTCAAATCGCAGGAAGTGTGGAGCCAGAATAACGGATCTGGAGATTCAGTAGAGCTGCCACGACATGGATATCCAATTTAAGCTAAAGCCCAAAATCGTCACTAGGGCTTTATGGCCAAAACCAACCCACGCGAGCTATGGAATGATTGTTGAACACCTGAAGAAGCCTCAGTTAGGCTGCTCTAATAGGTCAAGCCTCACGGCCATACAACAAAACCGTCCACACTGTAGCTTGATACACACGTCCCTGGAGATTCAGGGATAAACCTTTCCGAAACAACAAGTGTCTCAAATTAGCGCACGTGACCGGGACATGCAGATTCGTGCATTCGCTTAATCTGTCACATTAATATCAGAAATAATACAACTTCCAAGATACGTAGAACGCTCACCAGCATCATCGTCGACAGCATGACATCAGTTTTCACCACCGATACTTCACTGCAGTAAAACGTTCCACAACCCCAGATTCGTGCGCTTAATCTGTCACATTAATATCAGAAATAATACAACTTCCAAGATACGTAGAACGCTCACCAGCATCATCGTCGACAGCCAGCAATCAGTTTTCACCACCGATACTTCACTGCAGTAAAACGTTCCACAACCCCAAGTACCATTGTTAGGGGAGCGGCAATTGACTGCAATTCCAGAAGCATTACCTCAAAATACGAAGTAGAGAGTCCATACCAAAGGACAGAATAAACTAATTCAATTCTCGCAGAAATACGAGCGCTGCCTCCACTTGTACGCATTGTCCTCTTTACGTGGTGGATAGGTAATTGACCATGAGGTTATACCCTAGAAGCAAAGTGGCCCAT